AATAGGACATTAAAATGTTTCCTCTAATTAATTCCCTTTTTATGTGCACAAATTTTGTGCACTGGGCCACTAGTATGTTAATAAAAGCAGTCATCATCACTATCATTAGGGGAGGAGAAGAGCTAAAAGCTCTCTTCTGCAGAAATAGATCTCTATAGTTTCATTTTCAGTTAAAGTGTTTTTTTCCTCTAAAATGAAGGCCCAAATGGCCACACGTTCCCCCCCTCCCCCACGGCACAGCGAGTGAACTAGAAAAGAGTCTGGACAGTTTCAATGTCGGGTGAGCACTTATAGCCTACGAGAGTTGCCTTGTGTTAGAACAGGGAGCCTCCCTCTGGTGAGGAGGTGAAAGAACACCCTGTTGGTTGGCTGAACACCCTGAAGTTGCTTCTGAGTGTCTGGTTCTTTCTTTCCCTTATAAGAAATAGGGAAGTCCCACAGAAATACACAAGTAAGCTAAGTCAAGGTGTGAAGAAAGACTTTTAGGGCCAGCAGGAAGATTGGAGTGTTGAGACCGGCCTTTCCCACATCTTTAGGAGACCAACTATTACAAAATGAGTGCATAACAAAATAGAAGTACGTATAAGGCAAAATATCCTTGGACTGTAAGTGCCTCCCCTGGGAGTGAACTAGCTTGTAAATCCTCTATCCAGACTATGATCCAAACTAGTGGTTACGACTCAGGGAAGGGAAATATGCCCCAGAAGAAGACCTCCCTAACCGTCACCAGCTTGCTTGTGAGGGTGGTAATTTTCCCATCCTTCAATTAGTTTTTCTCAAGTACTGTAACTTGAGTGAATTGAAAATGGAGAGTTTTGAATAAGATTCTAAAACCTCCTGATTATGTTGCAAACTTTCTTTTTTAAAAAAATATATTTTATTGATTTTTTACAGAGAGGAAGGAAGAGGGATAGAGAGTTAGAAACATCGATGAGAGAGAAACATGGATCAGCTGCCTCCTGCATACCCCCTACTGGGGATGTGCCCGCAACCAAGGTACATGCCCTTGACCGGAATCAAACCTGGGACCCTTGAGTCCGCAGGCCGACGCTCTATCCACTGAGCCAAACCGGTTACGGCTGTTGCAAACTTTCTTAATGCTAAAGCAATGACTAAGCTGAAGCTGCTTATCTCTCAAGGATCGGTATGAATTTATGTGGGAGGAGTTAAGAAAGGCGCCTCCTTTTATCAACATCATCCACCCAACGGTGGCCAGAAGCAGAGCTGTGACTGAACAAGGTAAGTCTTATTGCTGGATGCAGTGATGGAGACTGCATACCATGGGAACTGTGGGGTGTCTAAGAGAGAGGGTGTTAGAAAGGACTTCCTATATAAGATTTGGGCTTATGATAGATCATTTTGAGGAGGGTTTAAGGAAGTGGGAATTTTCTCTGAGCTGGATGCTGTCAGGAAGCTGAGATAATTCTGTGACTGAGTGTTTTTATTATTAGAAGGAGGTAAGACTAGAATGAGGTTAAAGCTGTGATTGGTAAGGAAGCAGCAGTCGCTCAGCTTAGCGAAGACAGGAGATGTTTGGCTGTTTTTATGGTTTGGACAAGGTTTATGTTTTTGTGTAGACATGATTCCAGAGTGGCCTGATTTTTGCCCTTTTCCACCACAGTGACAGAGTGGCCTTGCCTGACGCGGATGTTCTGTGACACTGTTGATGTTCATCATAGAACACCAAGGCCTGGCTGGGAGATCCAGGCCAGCTCCTGGATGTCAGGGATGTTTTTCTCTTTCTCCCTTTCAAAATTATTTTAAAATTAGTAAAAACAACAACAAAAAATCCCCCCTTTCCAAACAGTGTTAGAAATAAAGGACATAAGTCTCTCAAGTTCAGTGGAACTCCTATCTGATTTTCGGAGACTTTCAAGTGCTAAATGCTTATCTAAGGCCAAGATAAATGGCATACAGATACAG